CAACAAAGTATAAAGAGCAATAATTTTTGAAAAGCTCCTGCAGATATTCGCATTCAGGAACTGACCATGTTCTGCCATTTGAAGTACACACATCAAAATCATTAGCAAACACAAATTTACTCTCCACTGTGTCAATGTCATCAACTCTCGGCCAGCGATATGTGTGTTGATGGCCCCTGCTCATGAACTGGATAATGGCTTTTTCTGAAGAAATTACTTCTAACACACTACCAATAAACCACTCTGTTTCATATGCCACTGCTACCCACTCTCCCTGTGATTTAAAACTATAAGAAAATTCTGTGTTGTCATCACTCCCCTGAGATACCTTTGCTTTTTTACTACAAGTGAGGTCACCTGAATCATCCAATTGTTTTCGTTTTTCCCCAATGTTATGAAAGTTACTATCGGTGTGGGTTGAAGTGGGTCCATCTTCAGCCAGTGACATCTTCAGAACTTCTTTTAGGTCTGACATTAGTTTGTTGGCACTTTTGTTTCCGAAAACAAGACGCTTATCTACAATGCCAAGTACACTTTTGAGATATCTGATCTCGTCCTTAATTATATCAAGTTTTTGCTTTTTTCCAACAGCATGTTGAACTGCAATATCTACATCGTTTGGCCTAACACAGGGGCCCCCATGTTGTTTCACAACTTCAATGAGTTTTTTCTTTTGTTCAAGGTTTAGTGCTTCTTTTTCTTTTTTCTTGCGGTTTGTCTCCATTAATCGCTCCTCTGTCTTCCTAACAACTTCCCTCTCTGCCTCCCTGTGTTTCCGTTTGAGCTCTGAACTTTTTTTACGAGCAACCTCCAACAATCTTTCTTGTTCCTTGTCAGGCTTGGATTTCAGCCAGCCAGAGATAGTCTTGTTTCTTTTTGCCATCTGAACGCTTGAATGATAGTGCAGTGATGCATGTCTTCGTCTGAACTGGCTGAAATCAAGGTCCCCAAATTCATATTCTGACACTAGATTAGTGAGCTTGCAGTGCATCATCTTCTCACGAAGATCACCTTCCGGAGCTGTCCCATATAACCCTTCTGGCAAGAAATCTGCCAGCTGTTTCTTTGTTACCTTGACAAAACCTGCCATGCTCTTTTCCAATGCAGTTCTGGTCAAAGTACGACCTGACGCATTACCATCCAGCAAACATTTCCATATCTTGTCAAATGGAACTGCAAAATCAGGGAAAACACTCACTGGATCAGTCAACAACATGCTGCTGTCATGTGACCACCCTTTAAATTTCTTCAACATCTCCTGGACATACTTGTACTGGTCTAGGTAGTGTACATCACTCTGCAACAGATTCCAAAATGGACCAGTAATGACGTAGTACACGATGCCAAGGGCTCTGACAAGACTTTGAACTTTGTTGCTGTCACAGTCAAGCTTCACACTTTCAAGCTTCATGTTAATGGAGTCACAAAAATTATGAAGAAAATCATGGATTTGGGTCCTGTGAAAGAATAACCCTGCTGCTCCTTTAAAGAAATTATTGAAGCAGATTCATCCGAAAACTGGACACTTCAGAGTTCACTCCCAGGGTTTCTGAACAGAATGCCACCCATTTAGTCCTGCAACCATTCTTCTGGTCACCCCTTGGTCCCAACACATCACATGCAGTTCTGATGTACCTTGCTGCAGCTGATTCACCTGATGAACTGAAACGTCCAAATTTTACCTCCGCATCTCTACCGATTCCTTGACCCTTCTCATTCACAAGGTCCTTCTGCAGCTCCTTTAAAACACCTTCACAATTATTTGACAAACCAAGCAAAAAATGTGCATTGCAGTACAAAAAGTGCAGCCCTACAGATTTGTCCCCAAGTAGTGATGCCCTGTATGATTCCAGTCGATTGTTGAATGCCTTGTTGACACTGGACCTGTCAGACATTGTTGCAAACATTTTCTTCATCTTTCCTTATAGACCTCCTCTTTTTCTTCACCACCATACAAATCACTAAGTTCCTCCATCATAGCAATTATGTTGTCTAGAAGAGTGACCCCATCTTCTACCGCCACTGCTGAAAACCCTCCTGACAAAGTTTTACCAGAATTTAGTGTGACTTGTTGCCCAAGGATTTTCTTTCCATCTCTCGAAGTGCCATCCCCATGAAGGTCCCATCTCTCAGATCCGATGATGCCCTCAGCCATCTGGAGCTTACTAAGAACGTGTGCTTGGTCTACCATATTGTTCGCTGTGGAAGCAGACGGCAGATTATCAATGTTGTCCTTTTTGAATATATGCCTACATACTGCACCAATGACTTCGCCAACCTTTGTTGTAGGCACATTTAGTTCACAGCATAGTTCCATTATGCACTTGTCCACATCATTAGTATATGGTCTACCGGGCACATCTCGTCTCAGCTCTAGTTTTTCTGAAATCATCATGCTGTGCTCAGCTTCCAATATTGCCAGTTCAGTTTTGACTGACTTCAGCTCCATGCACACTTCTCTTTTACTAGTTTTCATACTTGCTATCTTTTTTTTTGGACTCTGCACTTCTGTTGTAGTCTCTTCACTTTCTTTCTCATGTCTTCCTCTTTCTTGGCTTCTAGTTTTATGCGTTTCTCTTTCTGGCTGATGTAATGGTTCCTTCGTCTCAGTTTCTGATATAGAGTTGTGGATTTCAACCGAGTTATCATTTCACTCTTCTCATGAAGTTGTGTTTTCAGGACCTCCATCTGGTTCTCCAGTTTGGCCACTTTAGCAGATTTATGATCTACAGTCTTTTTGAGGGCACCTTGCAGATTTTCTAAGTGGCGGATATGTTCAGATTTTTCCCTACAAAGATCGGTCAGAACAGCTTCTTTTTCCTGCAAGGTTTTAATCTCTGCACTTTGATCTTTAAGCTTGCTGTCTGTCTTACGCGTTAGTTTCTCAAGTTTACATGTAGTTGCAGTTGGTTTGACACTTTCTTTCACTACATTTTCAGTACTACTTACATGTACACTACTATTACTGCTACTTTTAGTACCACTACTACTTCTACTGGTTCCAGCTTGCTCATCAATATCCGGACTAACTGCCTCACTCAAGAAGGTATGTGCAGAATTACTCCTAGATTTAGATTTGTTAAGTTTAGTGTAAACTGTTTTTGTTCTTTTCAGTTCTGTACTGACTGTCCTTCTGTTGTACTTTCCTCCATAGATGTGGCAGATGGCTGAAAAACAATCTCCGCCGTAGCAACTCCCAAGCTCTAACAGAATCCCTCTTGTCAGCGGAGAGCTCCTCAAAACTGGTGGCTGGTTGAAGGTTTTACGAGTGATGTCTGCTGCTGCACACATTGGCCCTTTAAAAACAATAAAATAGGGGAAATCACAATTAAATGAATGTAAATTGTAATACAAGATATTTAGTGTCTCTTTATTCTATTGTACAAATGACTTAAACACTTCAAGATATATTTCCGTGATATTAATTTTGAAGCAGTTTATGCAAGGACCATTTAAGCAAAGAGTCATGCAAGGACTGGCGATGAGAATTTTTTGAAAAATTGATTTTCAACTTGTTAAGAAGCAGGAGGGTTAAAACTATTTTAAAAAAATAAATAAATAAAAAAGGCTTCATTTGATCAATTACCTATGAAGTTGAGATCAACTGGCTCCTTATAGAAATCCTGACGACTGGCTGACTCATGACGAAGGACACGGTTGACTGTGGTCTCTACTAAATGTCGGCATTTTGAAGATGGGTAGTCAGGAAAAAGCTTGCCCATCCATGCAACAACATCTGTCCACGACTTTTGGTGTCGCATCTTTATGCAGTATATCTGAAGTAACAATTGATGTGAAGGCTCCACTTCAGGAATGTTTGGCCGCCGTCCACGACCAGTTGCAGCAAATACTGCTGCAAGTCGTTTTGCGTTGTCATCATCTGTCAAAATTTATAAAAAAAAAAAATCACGAAACTGGTTAAACGACGATAATGGCATTTGCAGGCAACTTTTTATTGCAATTTACAGTGTTCGATTTTTTTATAAAAATCTGAAAAACACAAACATTCATTTTGAGGTAGATGTCTACAATTTAGAGTGCATAGTGTATCGAAAATGTCATGCAATCGGGATGAAATTTGGATTTTCGTTTTCGATGGATCGTGTCACGACGTAGTGTGGAAACGTGGACGCCATGTTTGAATCACCTTTTCGCAACGTATAAACAGGATACATATTTTCGACTCGGACTTCCTCTTGTACGTATGTTTCAAAGTGATTTCTTTCAATGGGTTCTAAATAAATGTGAATTCAACATATCTTCTTTTTTATGTCAGACAATTTTGTGGCGTGGTTAGCGAATTATTAAGTCTCAAACATGCGCCTCGTTTTCAAGTCGTGCCACGAAATCATGGATTGTGATCCTTCAGTCCGTGTTTCTTGNCGCAGAACATGAAACAAATGGAAGACAAATGTAGTTCTTCATTTTCTTAAAATTTATGTACACATTTCCATTTTATTCAGCTGCAATTTGTTGGATGAACGAACATGTATCTGATGTTAATACTGCAAATTTTGCTTCGTAAAACCTGTAAACTGCACATTTTAAAAATAAAGAACTACACATAAACTTACTATTTCTACAGACACTAAAATCTTGCCAAAAATAAAAATATCTGACTAAAGTAAGTATCAGTGGCAATGCCTGAAAGTGAATAAGCATATTCACACTTGGCAAATAGAGCATTAAACTTAAATTACACTTTGGCATTGTGGATGCAGACTGAAAAAATAAACCTGCTTATAACTTAATGAAAAACTTTTATGAAACCCGTTGTTACTTATAACAAAAGCTGCATGTTGTAAAAAGTGTACAAAATAATTATCATTAACAAAGTAGGTAATTCCTGAGCACAAATTTCCTCAAATCATTCCTGAGATGTGAGTTGTTACAGATAGGGTGGGGGATTGGAGGAAAACCAAGAAATTACTTTTGGCTTTGAGTAGCCCACGGCACATAATAAAAGTTTTGAATCGCACTTGCCCGTTTCATGTTCCTACTGAAGAACCCTGAATGATGAAGATGAACGAACAAGGCATGTAGTCAAGTACTATGTTTCACATACAAAAGGAATGTCCAGTACACTAAAATTTAACATTTGTTTACCCTTGGCATGCACAATAAGTTTGAATTGATGTGCATTTAGGCAAGAACAAAGAGAATGTACCATATCTTAACAAATAACAGAACATGCTGAAAAAAGTATATAACAAAATCTTCGAAGGCAAGATCATTAATAAAAGTAAACTGAATAAATATATGTGCACTATTAAATATTTGACATACATGACCGTGTACAGTATTTCTGTAACACAAGTAAAACAAATGCACCTGATAGAAACTGCTCTCACTTTCTGCTTGGACCATGGACATGCAACTTACACAAAACAGCCAAGAAAATAATTAAATGAACACATGTACATAACATGTAGCTACTTGTTAATCTTCATAGTCACTATCCTCTTCTTTCTCATTTCCTTCAAAACATGGAGCAAAAGGAAACTGTTCAAACACCCCATGGACTGAAGAGTTCAAATTTTTCTCAATATCATCACCAACATCTCCATCACTCCCTAATAAGTCACGTTCAAAATCATCTATGGAGCTGCTATCATTTTCTGATTCTTCATCACAGTCAGAAATATCAACATACTCAGTTCTGTTTGGGCTACAGTCAGAAGGTGCAGATGCTACGTGTACATTTTCACATTCCTCACATGAACATCTTGGACTACAAAACCGATCTTCTTTTTTGCACTTGTATACCCTTGTCTTACAATGGCTTTTAGCATAAGAACATCCCCTTATAAGGAATCTATCATTTGTCCTGATCCTCTCTACATTTTCCTCAGTTTCCCACAGGACTTTCAAAGAGTCAGACTCTTCAACAATCCAACCATAGTCACAAACATCAGGATACTCGAATATATGTTGAAGAGCTCTTCCCCAAACTGTACTGACCCAGCATGACCTAAGCCAGTGAAATTTCAGTGCTTCAGCTGACAGAAGTAACTCATCTTCATATGTTCCCTTCCACGTAGCCTTTCTGATTACATCTAAAAATTTAATGTGATGTTCAAGGATTGACAATGAATCTACAGACTGAAAAAGCTCTACAGGTGAGGTATACTTATTTAGGCAACTTCTGTGGATGGAGAAGTAAACACAACCAATGAGTCTGTAAAATGATAACATTCCCAAATCAATGTCTTCAGTGATGCTGGTATTTGACAACTGTCCTGCAATACCATCATGTAATAATAACCCGCATATGAATGAGGAATATTGGAAGAAAGTGTTGAAAAATGAACGTTTTCCAAGGTGAACAAAATATGACACAAAGTCACACCCACTACAGATAAACAGGACCTGAATAATTTTTAACAAGTTGTAGCCTCCTTCAACTGTACTTGCCAAATCTGGATCCCTCTCAAAACAATTCTTTAATTTCTGCAAATACACTTGCACTTGACATCTCCTTGCTTGGCCCTATACTGAATAATGATTTCTTTGTTCGGTATAGACAATGGGAGGCCTATCATTGCAATGTCACGATCAATTGAATAAATGTGAATAATTGAACATGTTGACTCATTTGCATGGATCCAAATCTGAGTATCAGACTCTTCGTGGTTGTTTCGTGCACAATACGACTGTTTTTCCAATGTAACCTCAATTCCAGTGAATCTGCAATCGGATTGAAATCCACCAGCAGGAGCAAATTTCTGCTCTGGAGAAGTAAGCCATGGCAAAACAATTAATTGCATTACAACAAGTAATGACTCAACAGTTGCTTATTTCTTCTGTTCTTAAGAAATTCAATCCATTTTGTACTTGGAAGCTTTGTATCATCCTGTATGCTGTCATAAAGCTCATCTTCACATTGAGTATCACCGTCTCTCCGAGTGCATTCAAGCAACTTGGGAGACAATCCTTGTGTATTAACCTGATCAAACAGAATTCTCACTTCAGTATACCCCTTGTTGAAAAACTGTTTAATCCAACNGAGAAGCCAACATTTCTCCATATTCCGAAAATGTTTTCTGATATCCAAGGGGTAAAGTGTAGATAATATTCATGCCCTCTGCAATTAAACCCACAGAATCATTTTTGGAAAACACCAAGGAATTTGTTATTATTTCATTATACCGTTTTGCAAAAAGGTCATATATGACAGACTTTGAGCCTTGATAAGGCATGCCATTGGGTAAGCATATTGCTCTTGGTGTCTCAAGAAATGGGCACAACTTCCCCACAGGCAACTGGTTCTCTTCAGAATATGCAATGGTGCGCTTATAACACATAGTAATAAGACGCTTCTCCTTTTCAAGATAGTTGATTGTTCGCCGTGTGATCTTTTTCTTGGCAAAAGTTTGCAAATTATGTCTCCTTATTCTTGGTTTTTCCACACTTACATCTTTCAAAAGGTTTGATTTAATGAAAAGATGAAAAGAATCTCTGCCAATATCTCTATATGCGAGGAGGTTTTGCTGCTGTACTTTTGATGCACTTCTTCTTGAAAAAGCTTGAAACAGGGAAGGAGACTGAGCGGTGTCAAAAATACCACTCTCTTGCAGTTTTACAAAGTAGCTTTTGGAATTTGCTAGTTCACTAGCAATAACTGCTTCAGACAAGTCTCGCTGAAAATTACTTTTAACGGAGCCAAACTGATTTTGAAAATTGGCTATGACTTGCGACTGAAACTCCAATGTTTGGGAAACCTTATGCATGTCAGTTGGGAGGCTGTGAGAAGGAGCATTTTTACAATCTTTGTTGATTAACATCTCATGAGCTTCGTCCACAGCAACACTAGAAAAGGAGAAACCCTTAATACTCGTAACAAATGCTCCTCTCTCAAAGTGCTCCAAAACTGGTTTAGGAAGAGCATACATTTGGCTTAAATGCCGTGGGATGAGACGTGAATAATTCTGTCGATCAAATGCATGAAAAAGAGGGCCAATGTTTTTCAGAGCAGCCAATCTGGCTGTTACGAAATCAAAGAAATGAACACGTTGTTGCAATTGATCCAAATGAGCTGAACTCCATTGTCATGTTGTTATTTGGACGACAACAGTAGTGTAGCCAAATGAAATTCAGTATTCAACAACTGTGTGATGATGGTCTGAAAAATAAAATAAAGGAAAATTACATGTAGATATAATCTAGATTGAGGAAAAAATATTGGGGAACTGGGTAAATTAACAGATCACAGTGACTAATTCGCGAGTAAAAAT